TTCGGGGTAGTCAAGGGATTCTGGGGGTCTCTAGTAGGCAGATTAATGGAGACACTGGGAGCCCTGGAGATTGATCCTGTGGGGGGGTGCCTCAGGAAAGTAGGTTGGATTCTGGGGTTCTCTGGGAGCATGGGCTTTCCTGGAACCCTGGGGCCTCCAAATTACTGGGGTCTGCTTTGGGAGCTGAGGGTTCCCCAGATCACTGGGAAGTTTGGAAGACAGTGAGGTGGTATTTCTGGAACCTTGGGGGTCTCTCTGGAAGATGGGTTGGAGGGGAGCCCTGGGGTTCGCTCAAAGGTGGGGTTACTTTATTTTATTTATTTTTTGCCTGAATGTTCACAGTGGAAGACCTATTTTTCTGGAAGGGTCTTTAGGGGTTCTAGAGCCTTGGTGTCACCCCAAGACTGGGGGAGAAGGGTGCTTTTGGAAGCTTAGTACGTAGGGTGTATTTTTTTTTAAGGGGGTCTTGGAGAGCCCTTGAGAGTCTGGGACCCTTGGACTGCCCAGGGTGTATTTTTTTTTAAGGGGGTCTTGGAGAGCCCTGGAGAGTGAGTCTGGGACCCTTGGACTGCCTCGGGGCCCTCTCAGAGGCCCACTGTTTTTCTGGGAGCTGCGATGGGGTGGGGTGAGACGCCACGGGAGCTTTGGGGTCTCTGGAGACCGATTGGAGGGCAGCCAGAGGCGCTGGGACGCCCTCTGGCTCTGAAGCAGTCTCTCAGGTTGTCCCTGCCTCGCCTGACACGTGCTGCTTCTAAGTCACAAAGGGAAGCCCTGGATTCAGGGGGGCCTGCGGATGGGACGTCTGTCTTCGGCCAAAGTACATTTTTCAACTGTGCCAGGTCCAGGCTGGGGTCTGGGCGGCGGAGCCTCCAGGGAGAGCCCTGTTGTGGGGGGAAAGGACAGGACGCGCTGGACCCTGTGGACGTGCCCTCGGGGAGGCTGCCAGGCCCTCACACTACTTCCCTGGAGCCGCACCGAGCAGCCCAGGCGGGGTGCCCCTGACCGGGGAGAGGCAGGGCCCGGCCGGTGCCTGGGGTCCTGCAGGGGTGTCTGGGCCAGTGGCCAGCACAGCAGTGCTGAGTCATGCTGAACTCAGCTCAGGAAGGGGCTCAGGCAGGAGGGCGGGGGCCGGCTGCTGACTGACCTCATCTCCCAGCGGGCGGCTGCCCGGCCCCCGGGACCCTGGGAACCAGGCCTGGCTGGCTCTGACCCCAGTCTGGCCCCCTCCCCCAAAGTGCAGCCTGGAGTGTGCTTTGTCTGACTTCACTGTCTGTTTAGTTCCCCCGTTATTTTCTTCTGGCTGCTGCCTGTGGCCCTATGGTCCCCTCTCTGGGCGGTGACTCAGTCTCCCCTCCCTGCTATCTTATCTGCCAGACAGATCTCCCTTGGCTTGGAAACTCTGGGAACAGCCCCTAGGGGAGGGGAGCTGCCCCAGGCACACTGCCACCGAGAGCCGAGTTACACATTCACCAGGTTTCACGCCGCAGCCTACAGACCTTTAACCTCAGGGTGCTCACAGGTAGGAGAGAAAGGGGTGAGACCAACATGATCGGGAGGACAGACAGACATCTGGGGGTTGGAGCTCCTGGAGTATGGAGGAAGACAGACCTACAGAGCAAGGGACAGAGACCCAGAGAGACGGGGACAGAGAGAGAGAAAGAAGGGGACAGAGAGGGGGACAGTTAGAGACAGGGCCTGGCGAAAAGGGGCGAGACCCTGTGACCGAGCGGGCTCCCTCTCTCTCTCTCATCCCTGTTCTCTTGGTGTCTACAGGCACTAGGCCTTAAGGAGCCCATCTTCCCCGGGGCCTGCTCCCCTCTGGACGCCCCACCCAGTTACCAGGCCAGACTCCAGAGCGCCTCCTCCTCCAGCCGCTCCCCCCACAGCCCGGGGAGCCCAGCTGTGGCCCCCACACAGGTTTGGGCCTGGTCTGCTCCCTAGCACCCTCCTCTCCTAGCCTCCTGGCAGCTTTCCTACCTCCAGTAGCTCCCCCCTGCTCCCCGAGTCTTCCCACGGTCTGATCA